CCCACCCTTGACAGTCTCCAGGTGCTCGAGTTCTACCTAGATACACCAATAAGATATGGAAGCTTTATGCATTCGCCACCCACCTCCATCTTCCGGTTCTCGGCCACTCTCCGCACCGCCACCATCGCCCAGTGCCATATCCCTGACAATGCCGTCGAAACGCTTCGATTTCCCCAGCTCCAGAAACTTGAACTTGTGGAGGTCAAAATCTCAGAGGGCTCGCTGGCCAGCCTTATCACCTCCGGCTGCCCTGCACTGGAAAGCTTGCTGCTTGACACTTGTGGAAGTTTCCATATCTGTGGTCTCAGGATCAACTCCCCTACCCTTAAAATTATAGGTGTTTTTTCCAGGTTTGTAGAGCTCATCATTGAGGATGCCCCTTCACTTGAAAGGCTGCTTAATCTTATACTTCATATGAAAATGCGACTGACAGTAATCTCGGCACTTAAACTAGAGACTTTGGGTTACATTTCTGAATACGCAGACTCCAAAATGACCTTTGGCTCCACATCTATTCAGGTAGGTTTGTGCTCTGCATTGCCTTTTCAAGGTTTTTAAGCTACATTTTTGGTGAGTAGAGAAGCTACATATCACCTTGTACTTATTAATGTCCTAATGTCGCCTTCCATGCTTGATATAGGATCTGCGCATTGATAGTCTGGCAGCTGTGGTGTGTACTGTCAAGACCTTAGCTATCCATTCAAATTTTAATCTCCATATGGTTATTGACTTGATGATATGCTTTCCATGCTTGGAAAATTTGTATATGAAGGTGATGCTTTTAATCTCCATATATGTGTTGGTGTCCGGTTTCTCTTTTGATCTACTTGTAGTTCTGAAGTGGTTGATGTTTCCTGCCTGTTCAGATTCGGAAATCTACAACAGGAGTAGCAAACTCGTGGCGTCGTAAACACCAAAATTTTCTCACTTCTCATGATATTCGTTTGAAGACGATATTTCTGGGATATTATCAAAGCATCCGGGCACATGTCAACTTCGTCACATTCTTTGTACTGAATGCAAAAGTGCTAGAGTCCATCAGACTCGAGGTTGGTTCCAGGGATTTCAATGAGAGGTATTTCGCAGAACAACATAGTGTGCTTCAGATGGAGAAGAGGGCTTCTAGAGGTGCTCGACTTTGCTTCAAAACACCTTGTGACCATGATGCTCCACATCTCATGCATGTCGGTGATTTAGATTCAGCCGATCCCTTCGCATGTGGATGTTGATTGTTGAGATGTATGTTTGGCTGGCCACCTGCGGAGTTATCCTTGACCTATCTCATTTTGTGTTCTGTCCAAACTCGATTAGTTTTCGTTTTTGTAGTGTTTCTAAAATTGTCCTATTCTAAGACGCTGTGATATTTAAACAAGCCATTTGTGGAGCAATTGCACTGAAAAGATTCCGGACTAAACAACAATGGCTTGTGTGTGTCCAGAGATAACTTCTGGAGGTGTTTATTTTTAGGGTTTTTATCATTTATGCCACCAGTTGTGTCCCACTACTCAGTTTTGCCACTAGGAACTTCAACTGCTCAAAAATGCCATCGCTTCGTTAGAAACATGCTCAAAAATGCCACTAGACACCATTATTGTGATCTCAAATCTCTTTTGCCATGTTATAATGACATAAATACCTACGAATCAATATGCGAGCTCTTTCTCTATCTCACTACAATAAAGTGTGGGGCCCACTTGTTCCCAACAGCGTTCTTTTTCCCCTGTAAAATTATTCGCTTGGTTACTCCTGGCAAGTGGGGCCACACTTATCATTGTGAGATAGAGAGAACTGGCATGTGGGCCTAGACTTACTTTTGTCATATAACATGGTCAATGTGTTTGACGTGAAAATAACAATGTCTAATGACATTTTGAGCAAACATCTACCAGAATTATGGCATTTTTGAGATATCTAAGGGCATTTTTGAGTAAGCATCTCATGAATCGATGGCATTTTTGAGTAGCTGTAATTTCTAATGGCAAAACTGAGTAGTGGGACACAACTAGTGGCATGAATGATAAATACCCTTTTTTTTATTTCCCACTGGAACTTCACTCAAATCATTTCATTTTTAGTGCGGCTTGTATAATACCGTATGCTTCTGTGGAGAAGGATCGAGCTTCTATGAATATTACTGAACTGATCGAGATTGTATTCTGGTACTGACCGTCAAAGTGGCATAAGGGGGAAATGTTGACCTAGTTAAAATGGTTATATGTTGGTTCGTTTCTGGTAATACAACTGTGTGCAATGGGACGTGCTATTGCGCATCGATCCTCTTGGTAGAAAACTTGTAAACCAGAACTCTGGATTTCTGGGGCTGTATCTTTTTCTTTTCTTTCTGTCGATGAATTTCCTTGGCTGTAGTTTCATCGTGTCAAATTTATGTTGTTCTTTTAGGATTCAGACTCCCTGTTTCCGTGAGAAATGTCATGTTTGTGGCAGTTCAGAATGACCCGAGATCTTTCTGCATGAGTTGTTACATGATGTTGCCAAGGTTTGAGCTGAGCTAGTGAACTATTAGTACATGGCAATAGCATCACAGAATCAGACATAGTTCGAATGTCCATATGAACATGTGTAACAAAAATTAAGAATTCTTTGAAATATGATTTTTTTTCCGGATCCGACTATTTAAGCCAGACAATGAGGGAAACCCTAGACGCCTCATTTCCCTACCCCCTTACGTCTGCGCCGCCACCACTCCCCCCGTTCGCTTCCCATTCTGCCCCCACCTCGGCGTCGCCATGGTCTGGGAGAAAATAACCTGCTACAAGATGCTCACGCAAGAGTGCCCTGTGAAGATCACCGTCGAGATGTGCCTCCAAAAGGCGTCGCGCTGCCGAGGAGGCATGCCTCGCCGCTCAAATTGCGACAGAGCATGCAGATGTACCGAAGGAGGAGGAGGAGGCGAAGGAGGCATCGGTCATGGAGGTTGAGCCTGGCGGCTTTCGCATGGAGGCGGCGGCACAGTTCGACTCAACCCAATCCGAGCAAGAGGTCACGACAAGCCACCGCCTTATCGACCTCACCGACATGAAGCGGGAGCAGCTCTTCGCGGACGTCAATGCCGAAGAAGAGGAGTCAGTGGTTCGCTCCACTGCCAATGACCATGAGGCCGACCCGTCCGGCTAAGAACTCATCAACATCTCAGATGACGACAATAGATTAGGGTACTTTGCTTGTTTTTATTAGCTTTTGTTTCATTAGTTCATGTACTGTACTATGTATGATGAAACGAATGTTGCAAGGTTCGTATGAATTTGAGGGTTTGCAAATAGGGGCGGGCCTGCACTGTTTGCCGGAAAACCCTATATGACACATTCTGCATCACATTGTCGAGCTTCCGCACAGGAGTTGGCGATCGAGTGGTGAGCTCGGCCGACCAGTTAAGGCGTTCCAGCGTTCCTGGTGTTGGGAACCTTCTAGGAGGTTTGTGAACCATTTTTATCGGTATTTAGCTTTCCCCTTTTTCTTTTTTTATGTATTTTTGTTTCTTTTTAATGTTTTTTTTATTTTTTAAAGAATGTTTTGGAATTCATATACTTGTTCAAAATATAAGAAAATCTTTGCATTTTTTAAAAAGTTGTTCATATAATTAAAAAAATGTTCACATTTTTGCAAAAGACCAACCTTTTCATTTTTTTTTGAATTTCAGAATCTGTTCTTGATTTCAATTTATTCGTAAATTGAAAAATTGTATGCATTATTGAAAATTGTCCGGGATTTTTTTAAAGTTGATGTTTACTTAAAATTTCTTAGAATTTTTTATAAACTTTTACTGTTTACAAATTTGTATTTCAAAAAATAATTATATGTTGAATTTCAGAAAAGTTCTCATATTCAAATTTCGTTCAAAAAATATTTTTTTTGGGGTTTTCCCTTTTTTTGTTCAAAATAAAAGTCGGTTTGCTACATTGGCCAAACGCTACTGTGACCCAGTTATTTCAAAAAATGTTGCAGATCCGGCGCTGTTGTTTGTTCTTTAGAGTTTCAGGCTACCTATTAGAGAAACAACACTGGTTAGCGCAATTGGCTAGCGCTCTGTATTTAACAGCGGAAGGGCTGGCGGTGTTCCATTCCTAGCGAGCGCGCTTCTCATTTTCACTTCGTGCGAACCGTGTTGCTACAGCGTCATATAGCAGCTTCCCTGTTTGCGGACGTTTAGCTAGTCAAATTTGCATGATCCGGTATAAGGATGGCAATTTTACCCATGGGTACGGGTACCCGCGGGTACCGTATCTGCATGGTAGGGTATGGGCGCAACTTTATACCCGCGGGTAGTACCTATACCCTACTCGTTAAGTCATGGGTAGGGAACGGATATAGCCTTTTACCCATGGATATACTCATACCCTACTCATTTTATACCGACATGTGAGTCTTATCCGTGATTCACAATCACAAGTGTACATATGTTAAAATTGTGTTGTGAGCTTATGAATCTATGTTAAAGTTGTTATCAATTGTCAATTTGAATTGAGATAATTTTCATCTACTCAGCTATTTGTTATTGAGTTGAGATTAATGTTTTTTTGTCAAATGTGCTATATGAATGTAAAATTGTGAATAGATTCTGTACTATTTGAACTGCCCGTTGGGTACCCAATGGGCATGGGTACCTATCGGGTATAGGTACGGGTAAAGTATCATACCCATGGGTATGGGTATTGGTAGAATTTTATACCCATTGACTACACGGGTATGTGTATGGTATTGCTCTACCCGTCCCATACCCTACCCATTGCCATCCTTAATCCGGTAGTATTTTTTTTTTGAGCTATTAATGGCCCGTTTAAATGGACTGCTAAAGGCTAGCAGAGAGCTCGGCCCGGCCCGCCGTGTGGCCCGGTTGGAATGGAGCACTACGCCAAAAGTTGAAGTCGGATTTCTCAAATCTCAAAAAGAAAAAAAGGAAGCCGGAGACTTCGCAGCAAAAAGGGCACAGTCTCCCCTCTGCAGGCTGCAGCCACCACGCACACCGGCGGCGCTGGCCGGAGATGGAGCCGACCGGCCGGAGTACCAAGAGGATGAGACCCGCGCCACCCGACATCCACCAATCGACGCCAGGTCCAGCGGAGACGACCGATCTGGAAGCCACGACCGCGGGGAGAACCCAACACCCGCCGCCGGGAGCTGGGAGAGATGGCGGCGAGGGGTCGCCGGACCGCATCAGCGATCTTCCCGACGCGGTCCTCGGCGAGATAATCTTCCTCCTCCCCACCAAGGACGGCGCCCGCACTCAAGCCCTCGCGTCCCGGTGGCGCCACCTCTTGCTTAACTTAGAAATGGGTAGGAGAACGAATCTTCTTCCATCTTAAGACGGTCAAATCCAAGATGTGTACATGTGCTTGCGGGATGAGCTTAATAAATTGTTTTTTACCAGATTGAATAATGTTAGTAGTAGTAATTAGAAGAAAAAACTCATAGATTCTATGTTAACCAGAAAGTTCGTCAAAGGATTGTTTATGCCATCTCCACAGGGGTCCGTCCGGTTCTTCCTCAAATGGGTTGCCTCAATCTTTATCAAAGTTTTGGCGCGCCTCCCCTCTCAACCTCGACTGCCGGGGCCTCTCCGGCAACTTCCCCGGCGCCATACTCTCCGCCCACGGGGGCCCCGTCCACCGCCTCTGCCTCCCGTCGCTCCTCCTCCAGTACAGAGCCGATGTGGCAGGCACCTGGCTCCGCTCCCCCTCCCTGGACAAGCTCCAGGAGCTCGAGTTCTACCTAGAGCTGCCAATAACATACAGATTTTCGTTCTCAAGGTTACAGCTGCTGCAACCACCGCCGGCGTCCATCTTCAGGTTCTCGTCCACTCTCCGCGTTGCCACCATCAGTCAGTGCCATCTCCCGGACAATACTGTGGAGACGCTTCAGTTTCCCCTGCTCAAGAAGCTTGCGCTCGTGGAGGTCAAAATCTCGGAGGGCTTGCTGCAGAGCATCATCACCTCCGGCTGCCCTGCCCTGGAAAGCTTGTTGCTCAGGACTAGTTTTGACATCCGTGGTCTCAGGATCAACTCCCCTATCCTTAAAAGTATAGGCGTTCATTCTAGGTTTGTAGAACTCATCATTCAGGATGCTCCTTCACTTGAAAGATTGCTCTGTCTGAGAATGGATATGAGAATGCGAGTGTCAGTAATCTCCGCACCTAGACTGGCGACCTTGGGTTACATTTCTCAGGATTCACCGGACTCCAAAATCATGTTTGGCTCCACAGTTATTCAGGTAGCTATGTCATGTCCTTTATACCTCTTGTTACATTTTTTATGCCGAAATCTTACATGTCATCTGTACTTACTTATCTCTTAATATTGTGTTTCATGCATGATGAAGAGATTGTGCGTTGTTAGCCTGACAATGGTGGTGCGTACTGTCAAGATCTTGGCTGTCCATATGAATTTTAATCTGGATATGGTTATTGAGTTGATGAAATGCTTCGTATGCCTGGAGAAGTTGTATATGAAGGTAATGGTTTGCATTCATACTCTATAAAGTGGTAGTGTTTGCTGTCTGGACGCTCTTTTGATCTACTTGGAGTTCTGAAGTTTGTGATTTCTCCTGTCTATTCAGATTCAGACAGATTCACCAGCAGGAACAAATTTCTGGCGTCATAAACACCGGAATTTTATCACATCTCAGGACATTCGTTTGAAGACCTTAGTGCTAGGGCATTACCGAGGCATCCAGGCACAAGTTAACTTTGTCACATTCTTCATACTGAATGCGAAACTGCTAGAGTCCATCCGACTTGAGGTTGATTCCAGGGATTACAATGACGGATTTTTCGCAGAACAATGTAGGATGCTTCAGATGGAGAAAAGGGTTTCTAGAGGTGCTCAGCTCTGTGTTACAACAGGTTCTCACAATGATGTTTCGAGCACCGTTGACCTCAGTGATTTGGATTTGGTTGATCCATTCACATGTAGATGTTGAGAGTGGGCCTGGCTCCTGGTTGAGTTATTCTTGCGTATCTCATTCTGTGGTTTTGCCCAAGCTTGGTTAGTTTTCTTGTACCTGTAGTCTTTCTAACCTCAGTGATTTGGTTGATCCATCCCTTAACTTTATGTTATTTAAATACTAAAAGAAAACAGGACCAAACGACGATGGCCAGAGTCAGCTATATCATGAAGATATCATCTGCGGGTGCCCATTTTGATTGTTCACTGGTACACCTCCCAAACTGTTTCATTTGCAGTGAAGATTGTACAGTGTCTTCTCAGTGTCTATTGCGAGCTTGCTTCGAGTTGCATTCTTATATGCAAGAAGAAGACTCTGAAAGTATCTATCTGAGTTTGCATAAAGGAAAATTTCTGTTGTTCTTTCCACTGTCCAACTTTGGGTGTTTTGAACCATGTTGTTTGATTGACAAGGTAAATTTTATGAAGGCATGTGCAATGTTGAAAACCTTGGTTTGGTAATTGCGGAGTTGGTTATTCTTACCTATCTCATTTCTCATGTTTGTACTGTTTCACAGCAGATTGTCACCATGATGTTTCGAGTATCATTGATCTCGGTGATTTGGATTTTTGTGATCCCTTCACATGTATATAGATGATGAAAGTCGGCCTGGCCCCTGGTGGAGTTATTCTTGCATATCTCACTCTGTTTTGGTCCAAACTTAGCTAGTCTTTCTAACCTTGTGTTGTCCCTGAACTTTGTGTTATTTAAACACTAAAAGAAATCAGGACCAAACAACAATGGCTGGAGTCAGCTATATTTTCTTTCTTTTTTTTCGAAACGGAGATCAGCTATATTTTCTGGGGGTGCTCATTTTGATTGTCCACTGGAACACTGCTCAAATTATTCCATTCACAGTGAATATTGTACAGTGTCTTCTCAATGTCATCGGGAAGCACCGAGGTGTCACTGAATATTGTATCCATCTGAGTTTTGCATAGAGGAAAACTTCTCTTGCTCTTTCCATCATCTGGGTTCGCTGCTAAAGCTGGGAGTGTTGTGGTAATTAATTATCAATCGCTCACAACTTCAGATTCGATAACTAGGGTGTGTGGAACCATGTTTTTTAACTGGGTTTTGTAATCGTGGAGATGGTTATTCTCGTTTCGTGTTTTGCCCAAAGTAACTTTATTAGGTCTCGTGTCTGTACTGTTGCTAAGTTTGTACTATCACAACACAACAGTGTGATGGTTAAAAACTAGCTACTTGTGAAGCCATCAGCCATGCCTGGTGATGTCAGTTATATTCAGACTGCGGGGCTCATTTTGATTTTCCGGCTGAGCATCGTGCAAGTTACTTTAGCAGCTAAACTCCATGGTTTCATCTTCTCATTTCCAGTTCTGACTGCAGAAAGTTTACACAAGGAAAACTAGTTTTTCCTCTTCTTCTTTTTTCTGAATAGAGATAGAGACATGCTACGTAGACGGTTGGAAATATTCAGGCATATAACTACTCAAGCTAAATACACTGACTAAACCTGCACCCAACTCAGCCGACACATGCGTGGCTGGCTTGTGTACATTGAAAACACTCGGCTCAGTAAAAATGAGCACGTAGCTAGCTTGAACACCAACATTGATCTTCAGTTCTTCACGGCGTTTTCTGGTGGGCATTCCCGGTGTTTTGGTGGAGCAGGCTCGGCAGCATTTATTTTCGGATTCAGGGGCTCCTTCCACTCACCACAGTGTCTCCGGATGGTAAATCAAAACTGAAAGTAACTTTTTTTTAGGGGTAAAGAACTGAAAGTAACTACGGAGACACACGTCGTTCCAAATGGGGCCTAACGTGTCGCGACACATGGGCCGTGAAAACTGGCAAGGAAAACGGGTGGACTGATAAAATGTCGGCAAAGAGCTCAGCCCGGCCCGTCGCGTGGTAGCAGATGAAGTCCCGGCCCTGCACTACAAAAAGTAAAGTTGAAGCCGGAGACTACGCAGCGAACGGCACGTCCCTCCCTCCCTCCGCGGCGGCGCGCTGACCACGGAGCCGGCCGCCGGAAAAAGGCCAAGTACCACCATTCGAAGCTGTGGAAGACCAACAAGTATTGCTGACCGCATCAGTGATCTCCCTGACGCAATCCTCGGTGAGATCATCTTCCTCCTTCCCACCAAGGACGGCGCCCGCACACAAACGCTCGCGTCTCAATGGCGCCATCTATAGCGCACCGCCCCTCTTAACCTCGACTTATGTGGCCTCCCCACCAATCACAATGGTGTCCTCCCCGGCACCATCCTCGCCGCCCACGAGGGACTAGTTCACCGTCTCTGTCTCCCAGCGCGCTACCTCTCGGACCAAGCCGCTGCCATGAAAGCCTGGATCCAATCCCCTGCCCTGGATAAGCTCCAGGAGCTCGACTTCTACCTACTAGAGCTACCAGTAACATCGATAGCTCTGCAACCGCCACCGGCGTCCATCTTCCGCTTCTCATCCACTCTTCGTGTCGCCACCTTCAGCCGCTGCCATCTCAAAGACCGCACGGTCCAAACGCTCCTATTTCCCCAGCTCAAGAAACTTGCGCTTGTGGCGCTCGTAATCTCTCAGGCCTCGCTGTGCCGCATTATCAACATCTGCTGCCCTCACCTTGAGTGCTTGCTGCTCAGAACCCGTTTTGACGTCTATGGTGTCAGGATCAACACCCCTACCCTTAAAAGTATAGGCGTTCGTGCAATCTTTGTACAACTCACCATTGAAGATGCCCCTTCACTGGAAAGGGTGCTCTTCTTGAAAAAAATGAATCGACATATGAGAATGCGTGTGTCAGTAGTCTCTGCGCCCAAACTAGAGACCTTGGGTTACATTTCTCATGATTCATGGGAGTCCAGAATTATGTTTGGCTCCACATGTATTGAGGTAGCTATGTCCTTTGTACTCGCTATTATTTGTATGTATGTGCATAAATAAAGGTTGCGTGTCATTTTTACTTATCATTGTCATAATATTGTGTTCCATGCTTGATGAAGGAATTGCGCATTGTTAGCCTGACAACAGTGGTGCGGACTATCAAGATCTTAGCTATCCATATACATATCGATTTTAATTTGGATATGGTTATTGACTTGTTGATATGCTTTCCATGCTTGGAGAAGTTGTACATAAAGGTGATGGTATGCATTCATAGTCTAGTAGTGTGTCAGTGTTCGCTTTTCAGTTGTTCTTGTGATATTCGTGGAGTTCTGAAGTGGTTTATTTTCCCTATCTATTCAGATTCAGACAAATTTATCAGCAGGAAAAAAATTGTGGCACTCTAAACACAATAATTTCCTCAAGTCATATGACATCCGTTTGAAGACGAAAGTGCTGGGATATTATCAAGGCATCCAGGCACAAGTTAACTTTGTCACATTCTTTGTACTGAATGCGAGATTTTTAGAGTCCATCCGACTTGAGGTTGATTCACAGATTACACTCGGGTATTTGTCTTAAAACAACATAGGAAGCTTCAGATGGAGAAGAGGGTTTCCAAAGGTGCTCGGCTTTGTTTTACAACAGACAGTCACTATGATGTTTCGACTATCGTTGATCTCAGTGATTTGGAATTGGCGGATCCCTTTGCGTCTGAGTGAATTGCGGAAAACCATCACATTACGGTGAAGGTTTGCAGAAAAGACTCTTCTACGAAATTGTTGCAGAAAACACTCATTCTCGACCTAATTTTTTGCAGAAAGCATTGATCCGTCTGTTTGGGAGTTTTAACCTCGTTTATGACAAGTGGGGCCCAGCTTTGGTGATGTGGCGTAACTGTTGGTCCCAGACGGCATTAGACATGGTGTGATGTGAATTTACCAAATAGTCCCTGGTATTTTTGCAGAGGCACCCTTCTATCAGAAAACTAAAATGCAATCAGGCCCTTGTCATGCCAAGCTCGACTTTACTCTGCTGCCAGCCATCCCGCGCTCGTGCGCTGCCGCCCACGCCGATGCCCCGGCAGCGGCGGAGCTCACCGACGAGGGTGGCTGCTTGGTTGAGCCCGTGTTGCGCGCCGCCGGGCCGCCGCTGCTTGCGCGCGGCTGCTGCTTGCTTCGGGGCTGCGCACCGCCGCACCGTTGCTGCTGCTCTCACGCTGAAACTGCTGCTTGTGCCCATGTTGTGCGCCGCCGCGCTGCTGCTTGCTCTTGTGATGTGCACCGCGCCGAGGCTCGTGCTCGTGTTGCGCGAGGCGGCGCCACTGCTTGCTCCAGGGCCGAAGTCGGGGAGGCCGCCGGGAAGCACGCCCCCTGCTCAGGAAAGAGAGAGGAGGGAGGATGGTGAAGGGGAGGTGCGACCACCGCTGCTTGCGCCAGGGCCGAGGTCGGGGAGGCCGCCGGGCTCGTCGTCGCTGCTGCCGCGCGAGTCCACGACGCCCCGGGTCCATCTCCCCTTCCCCGCGTCCGCAGCGTGAGGCCGTCGACCGTAGAGCCACCCCGCGGCTACCCCATAGCCGTCGACAGCGACGCCCATTGTCGCTGCGCCACCACCGCCCCCGGCGGAGACAGAGGAATCAGGCCGCGCGCGCCGCAATTCGGACGGACGAACGCTTCCCACGATCTGCATTTATCTTTGGGAGGGAGGGTTTTCTTGAAAAAAGACCAGCCTAACATCGTCTACCGCAAAACGTTACGCCACGTCATCAAATGTGGGACCCATATGTTATAATGGCGGTTAAAATGGCCTAAGTGATTGATTAGTGTATTTTGCAAAAGATTAGGCCGAGAATCAGTGTTTTCTGCAACAATTTCGTAAAAAAGTCTTTTCTGCAAACCTTCGTTGTAATGTGGTGGTTTTCTGCAATTCACTCATTTGCTTCTAGATGCTGAGAGTGGGTCTGGCTCCTGGTGGAGTTATTCTTGCCTATCTCATTATGTGTTTTTGTCCAAACTTGGCTAGTTTTCTCACATCTGTACTCTTTCTAACCTTGCGTTATCCCGAAGCTTTATGTTATTTATTATAAACACAAACAAATCAGGACGAAACAACAAACTTGTGGTGCAGATTGTACA